AGAACTGAAGGTGGGGCCCTGCTCTGCCCTGGGCCCTGGGACTGGGGCTGTGTCTGAGACCTAAGGTGTGTCCCATGGCTCATCATTAATGGCTCTGGCCCTTAGACAGGGAGAGCGGGGTTCCCATGAGAGCAGACAGGAGCAGGGCTAAAGGATGCAGAACTAAAAGCCTGTACGTCCCCCAGGATACGTGTAGTTTGCTTCCCTCTTTCAGACCCCTTATCTCAGTCCCTGCCACCAGAGTCACAGCCTGCCTGGGCTAGGGGCACCTGGAGGCTGCTTCTGGAATTGAGAACCTGACTCCTTCTCAGACCTGTTGGGAGTACAAGACTTGTAAAAAACAAAAACAGAACAAAACAAACATAAAAAAACGTAGTATTGGTGTGGGGTCCTCCAAAAAGCAGACCCAAAGGAAAGGACTGAAGCACAAGTGAGGAAGCCAGTGACCACTGTGCGAAACAAGCTTCAGTCCTTCAGGAAATGGAGCAAATATACTCCTTGGGATTATCGGCGCTTTTTAGCCCAGAAATGCCTATCCTGGCAGAGGAAAGTGGCTCTGGAGCACAAAAAGGTCTGAGGGATGCAAGCAGGGCATTGACAACATTACCATGGTAACAGGCCCCCAACGTGTCGGAGCTGAGCTGGGAGAAACCCGAGTGGACGGCGGAGGCTCTAGCATGGGCTAGAATNAACGTGTCGGAGCTGAGCTGGGAGAAACCCGAGTGGACGGCGGAGGCTTTAGCATGGGCTAGAATTTAAATTCCACGTATCCATCATATGCTTCACCCAGGCGTGCAGCAAGACTCCCGAATGCCTGTGGGATGGCCAGCTTATCTATTGCAGCGGCGTGCCCACGCGTGTGCACACACGCACACACACACGCACACACAAATTGTCCCAAAACTTAGTGGTTTAAGACAACCGTAAGCATTTACTATCTTACTCAGATTCTGTGGATCAGGAATCTGGGGATGGCTTCACTGGGTGGTTCTGGCTCAGGGTTCCTGTGAGATTGCAGTAAGAGTGTTATTTGCAGTCACCTGAGGCCTGGGCTCACGCCTGGCTGCTGGAGGAGGCCTCAGTTTCTCCCCAGGCAGGGCTCTCCGCTGGCCTCTCAGAGCCAGCAATTCAAGAGGGAGGGAGTCACCTCTGATGGCCCGTTTGTTATGGGAATCACTAAGGTGGGCCCCACATTAAAGGAGACCAGTATTCAAAGGGTCCTATCTCAAAGCCACCGCAGGTATGAGCTGGGAGTGGGGATGCTGTAGAGAGTGGAACACAAGCTCAACCCTACCCTCATCTAGGAGGGGAGACAAATAGCCATCCAGCAGTCACCGATGAAGCTCAATGACAACGGTGATACGTGGTGGGGAGAGGGTGACACAGCATTCTGGTGGCCTATTCTAAGGGAGGTTTGGTCTGTCAGGGGCCAGGGAAGGCTTCCTGGAGGAGGTCAAAGCTGATGCTGTGGGCACAGGGAACTGTAGGAAGTCCATGACCGACTGAAGAGAAGAGGCCAGTGCAGGTCTGCCCTGGGAGACTCCCACCCTACACCCACCCTCACGTCCAGGAGGTGTCCCCAGCCTGCAGGAGGGCTCCCAAGAGTGCCCTGGATCTCCTCCATGCTGAACCCACTGCCTTAGGAAGACAAGGACAGGCCCATTTCCAGAGACTCTGCCCAGTGGCAAAACCCCAGGGCCTGTAGCTGAGCAGCGGGGCCCATTAGCAGACCCCAGAGAAGGAGCAATCAGGGGAGAGAGCCGAGCGTGGAGAAACATCGGGTTATAATTAGGTGGCCTAATCACCTGTGTAAATTGTGTATTTCTTATGATCGATGTGCTAAACGGCTCAGGTTTAATTAAGTTCTGCCGATGCGTTCTCTGTGAAGACGCACTGAGGTGTGATTCACGGCTTGCACAATTAATAACGGGGAGATGCTGCCCGGCCGTGTGGCTCAGCGGTTGAGCATCGACCTAGGATCCAGGAGATCCCAGTTCGATTCCCTGTCAGGGCACATGCCGGGGTTGCAGGCTCGATGCAGCCGATCAATGATTTTCATCATTGATGTTTCTCTCTCTCCCTCTTCCTTCCTGTCTCTGAAATCAATGAAGGCATATTTTTTTAATTAAATTAAATTAAAAATAACAGGGAGAGGAGTAACCTGAAAGGGGGTCAGTTCCCCCCATCCTCCTCACCTCTCCCCGCAGCCCTATGTGCCCTCCTGGGTTCACTGCACTGTGGCCACCAGCTCCTGGGCTTCTCTGCCTGGTCCTAAGATGCTGGGCCTAGATAGGAACTCAAGGATTTTCTCTTTCCCAATCCAGTGCTCCTTCCAGAACTTGGGAAATGGGGCCCACCACCCCCATCGTCCCCTCCGACTGGGCCCAGGAGATCCCAGCCCTTCCTGAGGATTAAGAACCTTGTCCCGTGCTCGGGCGCCCCATCCATGAGCTCCTCTTCCCCGCTTCTTGTTTAACGAGGCCCGAAATTCTCTGGGCCGAGTCCTGCGTTCCACCTTCTCCGTCCCATGTTCCGCTTATGCTCTGCTGCCTTCTCTCCCCTGCTTGCTCTCGGCCATAGACTGCGGCCTGCAGCCCGGGTGTCAGCCTGGCCGGCTCCTCTCACCCCTCTCCTGGAGCAGCCGCCTCCTGAAAATGGGGGGAAATGGCAGTGCGGACCTTCGTGCTTCTGAGCCCACCCCTC